CCAATCTTCAGTGACTCTTGAATGATTTTTGTCCTCCGGCTGTTGGCGCCTGGTTTCACCAAAATGTCCTCCACACCTAGACAGAGACGAGACAAGATGTGAGCAAATACTCCTCGTCTGTTTTCAGCAATCAGACTGAAAAACTGACATAGCATCAGCTGATAACAGTGGTCCTGATATATTGGTTGCAGGAGAGAATAATCTAGGTTCCTACCCAGGGTGAAGCCCCTGTACAGCTGCAGGTAGGCGGTGAAGAGTCGAGCCAGACAGCTGAGCAGTTTGCCGCTGGTCTCTCCTCCGTACAGCTCGTAGCAGCAGTGGACCAAACCATAGGCTGAGGAGCCGTAGTGAGCTTTGTCCAGAACCCCGACTAACAGCTCCCCCTGACGGATCACCACCTGGGAACAGAGGGATGAAAGGGGGTTGATAAATAAACAAGACTGAAGTCACTTTGGAGTTAATGCATAATTCCACCACACCTTGCAACACCCAACTCGCTGTCCAAGCTTCATGGCGTTTTAGCAGAAAGTCTTTCCACCTTGGTTGCATATATACCTGAGAGTCACACATGCTGTCGGGTTTGTACCCTGGAGCGGATCGTGGCGGGAGCTGGATCCACGCTTTGCTGGGGATCTTTGATTTGCCGACCAGGTTGAGAGGCACCGCTTTCTCTGGGATGACGTTGAGCAGGAGAGTCGACACAACCTGGAAGACACATGAATGAATGAATTCAATATGTAGATAAAATCACTCCTAAACTTCAACATCTGGGCTGAACTGTCTCACTGCTTTCTTTACTTTTTCTCCCTCTTAAAGCAGTAAATGAAGCTTTAAAGCATTAACTGAAACGGGCAAAAATGAGTCTAAAAAAGCTCCGTTACCTGTTTTCCTGTCCACAGTCGCTGCGGTTTGAGGATGGCTGGAGGAAGCAGCTTAACTCTGCCTGGTCTGTCGGTCAGTCCTCGGTACACCAGCTCCGTGTACTGATCTCTGGTGAAGAAGCAGCCTCGTATGGTCATCCTGGTCCCTGACACCATGTGGTCCTGGATCAGACCTGCTAGAGGTTTACCATCCTGAAGAGGGAGAAGGAAGAACCTGAGTGAGGATCAGTGTGTGTTTATAAGAATGTGACGGCTTATTAACTTATAACCGAGGGGTGAGAGCGGATATAAGCAGTCACTTCATTGCCTTTCTTTCACCAAACTTCCTGTTTGCCTCCTCTTTGCTGACTAATGAAGTTAAAATGCCGCCAAAAATAAAACTTCAAACCATCATACAGGTACACACTGGCACATTTGCTGCTTTTAAATGTAGTTTTATGGATTTTTTTAAAAATATCAGCTTCTGCAGCTCCTACATTTTTAGTGTTTAATACCTGTTGAAAAAAGCAAACGACGTATAATAAGCAGGATTTAAATGTGTCTTGTTAGTATTTATTACCTGCACATTGTTATTTAACTGTGGGTATAAATGTTAGTTTTATATCTCCCTCGTAAACATACAAAAGTTTGACCACATGTGACAAAATGCACGAGGAAACAACATGTTCTTTAAACTGTGGCTTGTTATCAGCTTGTACAAACACAAGTCTGTAATAAAGTAATTTGTCTTATCAAATCAGCCGATGTGCAGTTAGTGGTTTAGGGCCATGACACCTTTTTTCCACCTCATCCAACGCAGCTCTGACTAACTATACAATTAAAGACTACAAAGACTGTTATAAGAAGAATCAGCTCAGTTAGATCATTATTTTAACTGAATTCAGCAACCAGCCACCACCAGTTACTAGTTATCTTAATTAAAGTGTCACAAAGCATTAACAAGTCAGTGCACTGAACACAACAGCCCACAACACACTCAGCATTTGTGTGTAGTACATATTTATCCCCAGAGGTCATGTCGGAGCACCGTGGGGCCCATGAACTACACCTTCACTGTGGCAGCCATTTTGGCCAGTGGCTTCCACTGAGGGGGAAGCACTGAATTTGACAAGGCTGCAAGTTTCTAAACTTACTGTGGATTAGTATTCCTATGAGCTCATTCTGTGTGTCTGAATACCACAAAACATTCATGACGGTGCTTTAAACAGGCCTCCAGACATACAGGAGCAATCATCACCACACCACATCTTAGATTTTTAGCAAGTGTCACATGTTAATGTGCGCAGCTTCCTGTTAAAGTATGTAATGCTGCTTTCTGAAACAGGCCTTAAGTTAAATGAAAACAGGCAGTTTGATATTTTACAGCCCAGATGAGAACTCTGTATTCAGTTTTGTTAAGAATCTTAGTCTGGTTAAAACCTTCGAAACCCAACCAGCAGAGAGTTTAGAACAGTGGGAAGCTGTGGAAGTCCTCCACACGCACACACCTTGGGGACGAGGTACTGCTGGTCAGTGCTGACTAACATGTAGGCCTCTGCTCTGCCCAGCTCACTCTGAGGGAAGTGAGCGTTCATTTCATCCCCGTCAAAGTCAGCGTTGTACGCTTTGCAGTTGGCGTAATGGAGCCTTAGAACCTGCGACACCAGGGTGAGATGAAGGACAGTTAGTTATGGATCATAGAGGCTCAGTGAAGTGGATAAACGATCACACAGAGATGAGACGCTACCTTCTCTCCCGGTAAGATGCGAGCACAGTGGGCTTGTATGGAAGGTCTGTGCAGAGTCGGCTGTCTGTTGAGTAACAAAACGTCTCCGTTCTTGATATGACGGTTCACCTGGACAGATAAGAACAGGAACGAAAGGTGAGAAAAGGGTTTATGTCTGCAAAACGCTACGATCACAATCAGAGCTTTGACCTACTATCTTCATGGGCATCTTATGTGGACCTGGAGACGGCGTCAGCAGCTCCTTGGCGACCGCCTCCCTCTGAGCGAGGTTGCCGGCTGAGAGGATGGTCCTCCTGCCGTCCTCGTTTATCACCATGGAGGCTCCGGGGTGGACGTTGGGCCCGTTAATCACGGCCTGACGAAGCTCCTTCACGTTCCACGGAGTGACCGGCTGAGGGTAAGTCAGCTTGGTGGCAAACACCTGCACCAGGATAGAAAAAGAGAGAGGAGAGGTTGTTTTATTTTTGGATCCAACTCTAAGCTCAGAGGGCTGAGGTAGGGTTAGCGAGGTTTGCTGAAAGTAAAGTCAGAGTTTCCAGTGCCAGGAAGGCTCTCTTTTAACCTGCTAGATCACCATGGTAGCTGATGCTGTGGAGCAACATCTCCATGGTAACTGATGCTGAGGAGCTAGATCACCATGGTAACTGATGCTGTGGAGTCAGATCTCCATGGTAACTGATGCTGTGAAGCTAACCTGGCCAGGAGCAAATTACACAGAGTTTCAGATTTAAGCTGTAAGAAGCATCTCCCTTTAATCAAGTCGTTTCCTCACAATCCTCTACGAGCGACACAGATTCTTAGCTTAAGGAATGTGTTTGATCTGCTAATATGTTGAGCTGTACGTTACAAATACCACTACGCAGTTACAGTATCCCACACTGTATGTATCGGTTGCCATGGGAACTCAACAAGTATTCAGCTGGTTATGCAGAAATCACATAAATATGTTTTTGTTTGGCACTGATTTGCTGCTTAGTCCGTTTAGACAGCTGGTACTGCAGCTGATAGAGTCGATAACATTAATTTCACTTTGATTATAGGACAGTGTCAGACTTAATTGCTTTTTTCCCCCAATATTATGTTTGAATATATGAAGTTTAAAGTCTCCCAGCTCTAATGTGCAGCTTTCACAATAAAAATAAGCGGCTGCATTGATAAATAAAATAAACATATTAACACCTGATTAACAGTTCTCAACCAGCATTCCCGTCGTACATCATTTGCAGGAGCAGCGCTTTTTAACATCGTACATTTTTATGCTCCTTGTCGTTCTCCATTAGAACAACCTGCTGACTGAAGTAGGCGGCACACGGTTGATAGTACAGCCGTTTGGTGATCAAGCTTCATAATATTTATAATTCCTCCTCCTCCAGGTTAGCTACCGTCTCTTTTGGGTAAAAAAAACAAACAAACTAAAAATCAGGTTTACCATTGGTATTCCTATCTCGTTGGTTCCGATGTACATGTCTGGACAGATGACAGATCGTGCAGCGTAGTCCACTCGTTTGCCCATCATGTGTTTCCGGAACAATCCATCCTTCTTCTCAAGGATCTGGCATGAGAGATGAGACAACTGAATTATAGGAATGTCCACCAGAAATTATAACATAGAGGCTACTTAGACGATCTGTGTATGCGGTTGTGTTCTTCTGATTAGCAGCATCATGTTGGTATTTTCCTGCATAACTCTTGTACAAAGTGGTGGACAGCAGCACCAGCAGACGTTATTACGCCACCTTATTGACAGGATAAGTGTACGCTGTGATACCTGTCTGATTCCAGGGTATTTCTCTGTCATCAGTTTGTCCATGTCACTGTCAAAAACGATGTTAACGTGGCTCTGCAGGCGGATCCACATGTTGTACAGTTTGTCTGTTAACGTCTGTCCGGGAACCCCAGACAGAAAAGTCTGGTCGGTCTGTTCTGGAGCCTGAAAAACAAAAGGTCGACATGTTAAACTACATCACACAAACAAGAGGCTTCGGCTGGATTCATTCACATTTACTGGCTTGTTTCAGGAGTTTTTAACATTCAGGTGTCGGCTCACCTCTGCCTCTTCGGTGTATTTCTCCCCCGCTATGAGAGCCAGCAGCTTCCTGATGACGCTGCAGTCCTTCATGACAGCCTGCATGTTGACCGTCTGACCGTTGGTGAACATCTGGTCACCCAGGCGATTGATTGGACGATACCTGACGAGGTGCGAGTCACATGACATGGTCACAACCTCAGCTAACATCAGAGCGCTGGCTTATATATTTAAACACAAGAAGCTTGCGTAGCATCACAAAGAGCTCATATTTGGGAATCGATAGTGCAGTGAAATTTCACATTTTTACTAATTTGCAAATGTTAACTGCGGTTCTGTGTATGATATACTAGCGTCCACGCAAACAACGTACCTGGAAGGTGTGACCACCAGCAGCTCCAGGAAGAAGAGCTCGGGACAGAAAACCTGGTCTCCCTTCTTCGATCCAGTGCTTTCCTCCAGCCCCGAGAACAGACACTTCAGGAAGAAACCTGGAGGCAAAAGAGAAGACAAGCTTTACAGTTTGAATTCTATTCAATCTAAGAGCCAAAAATGAAGATTAGCATCATGTAGACGGCACTTTTAATAACAGTTTACAGCGATTAAAAGTAAGTCAAAGTAAGAACCACTTCAATTACAAATCTTTATTCCTGTACCTTCTGACATTTAAAAGCAGTTCAGAGACACGTGGGCCCTCTAAGGACACGATATTCCACTTAAACATTCAACTTCAAATGTTAAACATGATGTACTCTGGCCCTTTAATGGTTTTGTTTAAAGCACATACTGGTTGGATGCTGTTTACCTTCTTTTTCCCACAGTTTGTTGACGTGTTCTCTGGCTGTACTGGCAGTCAGGTAGACTCTCTTTCCAGCCATCAGGTTGTCTGAAAGGAGACAAAATCAGGAAAGATTTAACTATTGTATGTACATACATTATGTAGCGGGAGGTTTTTGGTTATTTCAGCGTTACAGAGAACCTAAAACTACCACAAAAACAAAGAAATAAAAGGGCTCCTTCCTACAAATCACTTATGAAGGCTAGTTTTCTAATATAACAACACTGAAAACCACACGACTCTGTAAAGAAGAATGAAATTTGAAAACAACCGTCAGTAAAAAAAGAAAAAAAAAGTTGTGTCTGTGTTTTTTTTTTCTGTATTTGCAGCTTGCGTCAGTATTCCGTCGTCTTTTCTCACTGAGCCGCGTTTCCTCTTCTTCCTCACATGCTGCACCGTGTTGTCAGAGGGATTCCTTGGATTGCTTGTGTTTTTATCTATTTACCTGAACTTTCATAAGCTGCAGTATGTAAAGCGTGAACACTTCGGCGTTTTGTTTGAACATTTCTTACCATCAGCTTTGCCACCGGTTTGCGCTCCTGACGGCATCGTGACGATCAGCTTGCTGTTGTGTTCACGGCGGACTGTTGACCTGCCGCACCTGCACACGCACAAACATGCATGAAACAGGGCAACAAGGAATTTGACTTCATATACTGTACGGCATTGCACCAACTACATTTTAGCTTTTTTTGTGTGTAGTACATATTTATCCCCAGAGGTCATGTTGGAGCACCGTGGGGCCCATGAACTACACCTTCACTGTGGCAGCCATTTTGGCCAGTGGCTTCCACTGAGGGGGAAGCACTGAATTTGACAAGGCTGCAGATTTCTAAATTTACTGTGGATTAGTCTTCCTATGGCCTCCTCCTGTGTGTCTGAATACCACTAAATGTTCATGACGGTGCTGTAAACAGGCCTCCAGATATACAGGAGCAATGAAAACAAAATCAGACACCACATCTTAGAGTTGTCTGATTGACTGATCGGTCTTTTTTTTGTGTGTAAATAACCATTTGCATATAAGATCTGAACCTTTATAAACAGTCATTTTATTTTGCAGGAGTTCCTGATCTTGTACTGTGTGTTTTGGGTGTTTTAAGATGTTGGTTCAGACCCAAACTAACGTGTAAAAACCCGACAACACAAACAGATTAAATGATCGAAGCAGCAGCAGATCAGAGTTCCCGGTTTCGTTGGAGCAGTCATGGCATATTGTTTGTTCAGATGCGCATTTGTTTTCATTGGTTAGCTTCCATTCAAATCCTCCTGTCTGCTTCTTCAAACCACTGCTGTACCCTCTGCCATCTATACAAGTCATGCATTGGCTATGTATTAGTACCTCTAAAACCCCATTTAAAGAAACCAAACAATCCCTTTAAACTCTCACTTGATAATAATAAATAAACAGTTAAGTTACCTGCAGTGGGGGCACTTCCTAGTTTTCATCTGGACACTCCAAAAGCTATTTATCAGACTGCACTTCTTCTCAACCAGGTGCTTAATCTGACAAAAACAGACACAAAACCAGGTCAGTGTGCCTCCAACAGGGCAGCACGCTAGTATAGTTGAAAAGAATGACTTCATGAGCTTCATGTGGTCTTGTACATGTTTGGAAATGTGTACTCACAGGTTTCAGGTTTGCAGAAGCTCCAGTGCTTGCTCCAACTATCGCATCCGTAAACTCCCTCAGCCACTGCTCGATCTCATCCCCGGTGGCTTTGGGATTCTCCTCCAGGTACTAACACACAAAGTTCAAAAATAATTGAAGAATCAACAGAGACAAAGAGCAACCCACAATCAAGTGAAAGACTAATACATGCATTCTCAATAAGTAAATAATCACATCTCTGGCTGCTTTGCTTTCAGCTACACATTCAATCTGTGCAATCCACAGTTAGTTTCAGCAGGTACAACCCCACCTGGCTGAGAAGCTGTTCCAACTGGTAGACCTCCTGCATGGCTCCGTGGTCCACTAACTTCAGCTGGTTCAGCAGCAGGTGGATGGCGGCTCGGGGACACGTTAACGTGTGACACGCCAGACACGAGCCACGGATCAGCAGGTAGAGTTTCTGATGTGAGGAGAGAGGAGCAAACATTAAGAAGAGGAGGTGCCACACTGCCACTGAATAATATGACATGGAAATATGTTCATGTGCATGAAATGCTCACATCGAAGAACAGTGGGTTGTACACAGGCAGAGGCAGCTCGACGTGCCCCAGGTGTCCTGGACAGGTGTTGAAATTCTGACAGCAGGTTGAACACACCTAAGAAAAACAATAACAGAGAAAAAACGAATGAATGAATACATGTTTGACATTATGGCTCCTTCATGTGGAGTATTTTTTTTTTTTTATTCAGCCGATGTGAAAAAACAAGGTGAACAAAACTTTAATATCGACATCGCTTATCGATAATATCAGAAATCTTAGGCATCGGCCAGAAATTTTAATATCGTGCATCGCTAGAAATGGTGTTTTATGATTTTGAAATGCAAACTATGTCTGAGCTACAGAGTTACCGTCAGATTATTGAAAAGAAGTGCATGTCTGAAAGAGGCTTAAGTGATACAAGTTCAGTGTTTTTACCTCTTTGTTGTCTGCTGGTCCCAGGGCCAGATCGTACAGGCCGCTTGGAGCCACATTCCCAACAGCATCGAGGAACCTGGAGTTAGTGATCGTCTTCACACTCAACTTCCTGAACAGAAGATAAAAAGAGTGCATTATTACACAAGTGCATCTCAACATTGTGAAAAGGTTTAATATTGCTGTGCTGCATTAACGCAATAATTCAAGCAATTATTGTGTGTATAAATGAACAAACTTTTCAGAAGCTGAACTTTTCTGCATGGTAAATCCTTTTCTTTTTAAATTGATCTAGGGAAATACTATAGGAATATACTGGATTCCTGATTTTCATGAGATATAAGCCATAATCATCAAACTTTTTCGAAAAGCACAAGTACTTTCATAATTATACTGGATTTTCAGCAGCTCTTAGTCATGTTGTTATTGCATGGAATAAGACCAATCAGCTTTTCCAGACGTGCATATTGAGTGTTTAGTCGATGACAGTTACCATATGACAACATGTGGCTGAATTTTAAAGTATAAAACCAAAGAGACAGGTGAAGAACATGTACATAATATGAAATATTACTCTTTTGCTTGACTATCTAGCACAGTTGTTACATGTAAATCATGCTTAAAGCAAATTAAATAAACACGACAGCAACTCTCGGCTAAAATGTTCACTTAATGTGACTTAAAACGAGAGAAGCTCAGTTATAACACGCTGCCATGAGCACGCATGTTGTTTTGAAGTCCACTGGAGCACACAGCTAAAAGCTAACAGGCGTCCTCTCACCGTAACTCCTCGGCGGAGTACATGGAGAACGACATGCCCTCCAGGCGCCGCCATGGCACTTCTTTTCCGAACAACATTTTTTGGAGATTAATGGAGAATTTAGTGGCGTTTATTCTAACAAAATCATGGCGAGAAGTTCCACCACATGAGACGCGATTCCTCCTGTATCACACGTGGGACCGTAACACACACTTCAGATTAGAGAGGGGGGAGACGAATACGGATAACGGGGTTTATCTACAGATTTTTAAATATATTTTACTTTGAATTTATCATGGTGAAGTAAAATAGCTCTACATGACTCCTTATAAATGAATAATGCGTACTTTATTCCACAAAAAAACATTTTAGTATAATTATTGTATCCCCCCTTTTCTTTGCCGACATGGTTTCTCCCTCCCAGAAGCCTTCAGTTTATTCCAACATGGCGGCCCCCGGTAGGCACGTAGGGCATTACATCCAGAGAAACGGGCGATTTCTGCTCTGTAACATCGAGCAGGTGTTGGGTCACAGGTGAGAGGAATTGATTAATGTTTGTTTTGAAAGTAAATGGACGTTATGTCTTCTTAAATATTGTGTAGCTTCTTGTTTTTTGCCTTTAATGAGTGTGACGGCTGCAGCTAGCATCATCTGGCAAGAGGTCATGTCTTCCTGTCGGTTATGTGCATCACTGCACTGAGTCAAATGATGGCCAAAAATATGGCTTTTGTTCAGCAGGTGTCTCATGCAAACGGTGCATTAGCTTAAAAGTTGAACACAGATTGTCTTTGTGGTGGGTTGAACATGGGATTTTAATAGAAGGACAAATGTTGGACTCAGTTTTCCCACTCCACAATATTCAGCAACCGTTTTATTCTTTTAAAACTGATGCTAGAAGTATTTTTCCTCCTTCCTGACTTTGACATAACGTTTCATTACTTTTAATCCATGTAGACAGTAGATACAAAGACATATTTGAATGACCACCGGCTGCATGTCTACGATAAAGTTGTCTTTGGTAAAATGCAAGTGTCTTTTTTTGTTTGTTTTTTTTACAGGAGTTTTGGTTGGACTCCAGCTGTGCGACAACAAGCTGCAGAAGTTAATCAAGGTAAATTAGGCCACTTGGGGTAATAATAATAATAATAATAATAATTATGATAATAATAATACATGTATTTGTTGGTACCTTTCAAACCCTTCAAGGACCCACTTACGAAACATTGGGCATAATAAGACAGTAATTAATGGCTTGCAATTGAGTTGTAAAAGAGATGCTAACGAATGTCCTCTGATTTGAACTGTACAGTGGAGTCCAGCAAGTGAATGTGGGCCAGTGGTGAGCTCAGTGTCGTGTTTCGGGGCATCTGAAGGCTCTGACAGTCATGCATACAGCTGAGTCTAAAACTTGGGACTGATAGCAGAGCATCAGAGGGAGATCTTGAAGCACAGGAGAGGTTGGAGGGACAGAGAAGGTCTGAAAGGTGTGGGGCAGTCAGGCTATGGGACACTTAAACCCCTGCTCAACAGTGAAACACAGAGGAGAGGTGTGATATGGTCAGAGAACTTGTTGCAGGTGATGATGATGGAGAGGTTTATTAGAAATACCAAAAAAGAATGGCGTTGCAGCAATCAGCATGAGACGTGACCACGGCCTGAGTAACAACTTCAGTGATGTATTGAGAGGGGGAAGAAGTCTGATAAAAATAGGCAGGACAGTAGATGTTACTGGTGTTGGGGTTAAAATAAAGTGTACTATCCAGTCTGCATCAGTGTGCAGAGCTTGTGCTGTCAAATTTATGCAAAATGTATGTTCACTAATCCTCATATCAAGCACTTGTAAACTTATTCAATATAGGGAGGAACCGTCCTAAACCTGAATCACAATGGCCACTTGTGTTTGTAGTTCTTGGCCCTATCATTTAATTTCTTGACTATGATTAAGCCAAGTAAGATAAAGTGTGTCAATCTTGTGCTGAAAATAACTGAATTTAGTCGAACAGGAGGAACATATCCATAGCAATAAAATCACCTCCTTCTCTTACTTGTGTTGCAGAGTTGCCAGAGAGTATCGTCATCCCCAAGAAGAAAACATGGTAAGTGCTGATCTGACTGTCTTATAAAGTGTCCTATAAAGCAGGCTGCGTCACATTTAGAGAAACCTCTTTATCCACATCTCTCATGTTCAGGTGTAGCAACTGCTAAGTGTTTTTTTAAACCAGATTTTGCATTAATGGTTTTTTTTCACTACACAGGAGCAAAGAGGCGGTGCTGGAGGCGCTGTCTTCAACTGTAGGCAGGGTGAGAGCTCACTCACTTCTCTCAGAGTTCCTTTTCCTCTGTGTTTTTAAGCAGCAATATATTTGTGTATCTACTTGCTTAGTGTCCTTTCTTATTCCCTCCAGGATCCTACAGCATGTCCCTACATGTTCCAGGATGATCCGTTCCTCACTCCCAGAACTTCTACTGAGTTCGTACGTCAAAAACACAGACTTACACTGACATTACTACCTGTCTTTGTTTGTTATCTTAATGTCTCTGTACCAGCAGAATGTATTGGACACATTTTTCAAATTTGGCACAAGCGCTCACTATGATGCAGCGATGAACTGAGTGAAGTTTGGTAGTCAAAAGTCAAAGTCATAGCGACTTCACAGAAACTGTTTTTAGCCGTAACTCAAGAGCTGATGCACTAATCAGCACATACATGTTTATTTTACATGCAGAAGACCCAGAGATGAACTTCACTGTGACATGATCATGTTCTACAAAAACACTTTGTTTATTTATACTCATGTTAAGGAAGAGGGCTGCAAGGTGGCTCGGTGGTTAGCACCGTTGCCTCGCAGCTAGAAGGTCACCGGTTCACGTCCCAGTGAGGACACCCGAGATCTTTCTGCGTGGAGTTTGCATGTTCTCCCCGAGCAGCGTGGGTTCTCTCCGGGTTCTCCGGCTTCCTCCCACACAGTCCAAAAACATGTTGAGGTTAATTGGTGATTCGAAATTGTCCATAGGTGTGAATGTGAGTGTGCTTGGTTGTCTGTCTCTAAGTGTAGCCCTGTGATAGACTGGTGACCTGTCCAGGTGAACCTGCCTTCACCCTGAGTCAGCTGGGATAGACTCCAGCCCCCCATGACCCTAGTGAGGATTAAGTGGTGTATAGATAATGGATGGATTGATGTTAAAGAACAACTAAGTAGAAGTTCTAGCCACTTCAGCATCCTTGTGCAGAGGATGTCGTTGTCTTTTTAAACTTTATACACAGAAAACAGAAACATGAAAGTCTGCCCTTTTCATGGTAGATGATATTTTGACTTAACAAGAAGAGCATAGGCATAATTAATAACTCTAATTATGGTGCTTTCATTAATGTACACCTGTTAATCAGGCCCGTTTTAGTGTCAGACTATTTATGTTGAAGCCATTTTTTCCATCTAGTTCTATTCTTGCTTAACTGTAGGTACATTTCCAAACAGCCAAATAGTTTTAACAGTATCGGCAATGTAAACACCAAGTGGTAATGACTAAACATTGCACTGAATTAGCAGCAAGCTGTTATGTTTCATAATTAAAGTGAAGACAACTGTTTCTGGTGCATTTGCTGTAAACTACAATGAGCTCTCTCTCTTTCTCTCTCTGCAGAGGATGTTTGCTCTCTCTCAGGAGTCTGGCAGAGATGCAGCCAAATTCTTTATCAACAGTAATCCCAAGTTCTTCACCAAAGACTTCGCTGAACCGCATATACCGGTAAGAAACACGCGCATGTGAATAAGTAGAGGAGACTGGTGAAAACACAGTCACAGGTGTAAGGGGGGCAGCAGTAACGCAGCAGCAGGATTCATTCTCTGTGGTGTGTGTGTGTTTGTAGTGTCTGATGCCGAAGACGGTGTCGCTGGTTCTCGAGGAAGTGAGCGAAGAGGCACTGAAGGAACGGATCAACCTGAGGAAGGTTTCAGCTGCTGTCGACATGTACGATCAACTACTGCAGGCTGGTGAGAAGACGCACACACACACACACACACACACACACACACACACACACATTCTCTCTTGTATTAACATGGCTATCATCCTGCTTTCACAACTGCATTTGTTTGTGATTTCAATCTGTCCAGGCACAGCAGTCAGTATGGAAACAACCCATGGCCTCCTGGATCTGATCTGTTTCTACTGTGACAAAGACCCTGCTGAAGAGGAGGAACCACAGAGAGAAGACACAGTGAGTCACCCCCGATCCACAACTAAATTAGGTTTTTAGTGACAAGAAAGGAGTGAAATAGTAAACTCAAAAAGTAAAAGGATGCATGGACATGTTAACAGTGCAGTATAAAAGAAACCATGTATATCAAAGCAGTCTTGAGTTTCCAGTGATTCCAATAACTCTTAATTTTCTGTGATGGAATGATTAAAACATTGAAATATGACTAAATCTGCTGAGTCATGAATATACATAGAGCAATGCTAATAATTGTTTCAATGTCCTTTGGTAATTTTCACCCCAACTATGTGCTGCGAGTTGCCGTCCACAAGCTTCTGGTTTATCTTTGACCTCCTCTTGACAAAATTAGTGCAGGTCAATTAAACTCATTGGCTTTCTGACGCAGACTTGTTGCTTCATGACAGTTCACAGCCTCTTGATAGCCTCAGACGTTTTGGGAGGCCAACTCTGGCTTGATTTAACCGTTTCTTAACAGGGCTCCAGACTGACACCAAAATAGTCACATTTGCGACCTTTTTTTTTTTAGAGTGTGCAAGTTAAAATTTCAACTGGTCACATTGGTGCGAGTGTATGATGATCATTAGACTGTATTAGTGTCACTGTGACCAACACAGGAAGCTGCTGTGTTATCCACGGAGGTGGAAAGTAGTACTTTTATATCTGTGACGATTCTCAGTCATCCAGGTCATTGTTATTCTGGTCGTTTGATCGTAACAACTGGACTTGCTTGAGTTTCTCGAAGACTTTTCACTTCTCATCCAAGAGGCTTCATCAGTTCAGTCCCAAATGAAACGGAAACCCAGGTGTTAATGGCTCCTTAAGGACGTAAGTATCTGGAACTCCCAACTGGTCAGTCAGAACTGATGAAGCCTCTTGGATGAGAGGTGGAACGTCTTCAAGGAACTCAAGCAAGTCCAGTTGCTACGATTAAACTACCAAAATAGCACTTTTATAACCTTGATGTACTGCGCTATCTACGCTTAAAAATAAGATCATCTCCTGAAAAACGAGGTCGACCTGCATGCGCTGTTTCCTCCGTTCATAGAAAAACCACATGTTAAATCAGTAAATAAAAATATCACTCTGTTTCAGTTTGGACAAATCTGACATTGGTTCACTCTTTTTAAAGTCATTTTTGGTCGCACACCTATCATTGCACACCACAGCCAGCAAGCAGCATCTAACACAGTCTGCAATGTGGGACGTTCAGGGAACATCGGTAAATTATAGGGACTATCGATAAGAACATGTTCAGCAAGTCATATGTTTTGCCTGTGACAAGGTGGGACCCCTGGAGAGCTGCCTAACCATTTTTAATGTGTGTTTGGGGTCATTGTCTTGTTCGAACACTCAACTGTGTCCAAGACCCAACCGTCTGGCTAATGATTTGAATTTGTCCTGAAGAATGTGGAGGTGATCCTCCTCTTTCATTATTTCATTTACTTTGGGTAAAGCACCAGCACCACTGGCACCAAAACAACCCCAGAGCATAATACTGCCACCGCCATGCTTGACAGTAGGTTTGGTGTTCTTGGGGTTAAAGCCTCACCTTCTCTCCTCCAATCATATTTCTGCTAATTGTGTGGCCAAATAGCTCAAATTGTGTTTCATCTGACCACAGAACTTTGCTCCATGAAGCCTTTTCTTTGTGTTATCAGCAGCAAACGTAAGTCGAGCTTTAAGATGCTGCTTCTAGAAAACGGGCTTCTTCTGTGGTGATGTAAAACACACTTGATACCTGTGTTCCAGCAGCTTCCAGTTCTTTGCAAACCTACTTTTTGGTGACTCTTGGTTGTTTTTGTTTTTGTTTTTTTGTTTTTTGGTGACAAAGACGCATGTGTTTCAGTATTTCCATCATAGCAATTTTAGAGCCGTAGTGGTCAATGGAAATGCAAGGCTGCCGTGATGTGCATGCTCTTTTCAAGTGCATGTAAACTTTTGGTCACAACTCTATGCTTAGTTTGTGTGTCTTTTGTGTTGCGCAGGACTCAGACGAGCCAAAGCCGAAGGGGCGGATCCACCGAGCATCAGACTTCATTAAGTTGACGTGGAAAGAGAACAACAATGCAGAGAGAATCTTTAACCTGCTGCCAGAGAGAGATACGAGGTGTTACTCCGCTCTGATCAGAGGGATGGTGAAGGTATGAGCAGGTTCCTGAGTCATGTCTGAGGTTTATAGTAACATTAAAAAGTCAGATCGAGAATAAGTGCATGTGTTTGTGTCCCCACAGTATAGAGCCCCTGCAAAGGCCTACAGCATGTACACGGATATGCTCAACAACAGAGTGACAGGTGAGTTGAGACAACATGAGGAGAAATGAGCTCATTGTTTGTCCTTTATTATCATGTTCGATACATACCACAGCGGCTCCCAGCTGGCTGGAATCTCACGAAGCGTCATTCTCCTGCTGTCTTTAACCACATTTCCTGTCTGTTTTCACTAAAATGCGATTTTAGAGTTCATAATAGGAGTAGAAATAGTTGTTTGAAGTGATGACTTTGATATGCAAATACATGAATGTAGGCTCAGTTTAATTTAACTTTAGACACTGTAAACAATATGTTTCGTTGTTTTTATTCACAGCTTTAGCCATGCTTAATTGAATATGCACTTTGCTAAATTTGCCACCAGAGGGCACCAAAGACAATAATTTTTCAACGCTGCACTTAGTAGATTTAAATTTGACCCTCCTATGACAATGCATGGCTTTGTTTACTCTAACTAACAAATCAGCTGTGAGCATTGTAGTCAGTCCCTGTTAAACCCTGTTTATTTAAAGCAAATGTCTAATGGCTCCACCTTCTGTCTCCAGGTGACGTCCACATCTTCAACACTCTGATCTCCTCAGTTGTACATCTCAGAGTAAACTATGAGGCGAGATGGGAACTTGTCACCGTAAGACCATTTACACTAACGGACTTGTACTGACTTCAAGAACATGTTGCCAGACTTTCTTATAAAAAGATGATTGTGTAGAAAGCAGTTCTTGAATTAAGTTGTGTAAAATATATGAATGAAATCATTTAAACTTCACTTCATTACTTATGTTTTTTTTAGTTTTATTAAGAAAGATGCTCAAATCAGTGTATATATTGGTCAAATTTGAATTGTTTCTCAATTTAGTGGTTCATTTGTGTGTTTTAACTATTCATGTGGTCATGTCAAATAAATTCATTTAGTATATATATTGAATTCTAACATTAAATATAGTTCAGACTACCAGCCCACATCCAGTTTTGGGGATATCCAGATTGCATCCAGTTTGCAAAAACTAGACAGCAGAAACAAACAAACAAACAAAAGCATATAAAATACAATTTTTGCAAACCACATGTAGAGGTGGTTTGAAAATGCAGTAGAATTTCCACAGTGGCGTCTCCGTCCAGACGCTCTGTCAGCTCAAATCAGATTTCAAAGCACCTTTTCAACTCTCGCACCAAGACATCGACTTTAAATCCAGAGTGACAGAAGTGCTGAACGCAGCCTGTGCTGCTGCTAACTGAGCGCTGTGGAGGACGACATGGGCAACAACAGACAGAAGTAAAGTGTCTGCTGGCACGTTGAAAGGAGGCAAATTTGGAATGAACCTGTTTTGTCACCTGTGTAGCTACATAACAAACACAGACTCCAACCCATGCAGATTTGTTGGCAGTGATCACTTGCAAAGACTACTGTGACCGCTCCGTCCCAAAGATCTGATTTGCGAAGCAAATCTGATTTGCCTGCCGTCTCAATATTGCCTTAATGTCATGACTGGAGCAGGATGATGTGTCCTTTTGTTAAAGATGGATGCAGTACACTGATATGCTGAAACTGATCAGTAAGAATAATAACTCTCTGCACTTTATTTTACAGATGCATCAGTCTGTGTGTGTGTCTTTACACAGTTGTGTCTCCTGGTTTGTCTGCAGGAGCTCTTGTACCAGATGAATCAGCAGAAGATTCGTCCCAATATTCTGACCTTCAACAGTGTTCTCCAAACTCTGAGACGCTGCGGCCCTATTGGCAAATCACTAAGTCTGCAGACAGTGAGTGAGATGAAGGCACTGGGAATAGGTAACTGCACACAAACACGCGCTGCTGCATAACGACAAAGTTTTTGATTCTTTTTTTGTTTTTGTTTTTCTGGCCTTTTTGCCTTTATTAGTTAGGATAGTGGGAGAGTGAGACAGGAAAGGGGGGGAGAAGAGGGGGGGAGGCCTGCAGCAAGCTGTCATGAGTGGGAGTCGAACTCACGACCGCTGCGTCGGGGAACTACAGCCGCTGTTCATGGGTCGCCCGCTCAACCTAGTGAGCTACAGGGGCGCCCAATTCAGACTAATTCTAATGCAACATTTCCATAAAATTCCAGACAAGAATTCATATTCATCATTGAACCAGTGCATTCTGAATAGTTTGCACATTTAAAACGGTGTGCAGTGTAATTTTCTCTACATGTGTTGTTGTCTACTCACAGGAGATTTGTGCATAAAATCTGTGCAATATTGTTATTTCTTATATTCGTGGTATATTTATCGTGGGAAGAATCTGTACAACGCCATCGATATCTGCAATCTTGCCTATATTTTCCACATCCAGAGATTTTTGTAATATCCACACATGGAAGAATCGGTGTTCATCTTGCATAATTTCTATTTTCTACTGACGTTACCGACACATTAGCACTACAGTTTTGCTGCTGCCACACTGATCTTATCTGATGTTACACATCCTGCTGTCAAGCTTTTCACTGGGTTGTTATTTTTTCATGCTGGTATCTACACTAACTATTTTGTGTGTCTGTCTGTGTGTTCAGCTCCCAGCTTGGCCACCTACGAGCACATCCTGTGTCTCTTTCACAAACCAGGTACACTCAAGAGTTTTATGTCGCAGTACACATAAACAATCACAGTCCTGTTTGGTTGGTTTGTTTCTGTGTGTTAAATGCAGCAGCGTTGTTTCCCTCCAGTCGCCCAGAAACAGTACGGCGCTGACATTTTGCAAGAAATAGTGTCCGAGCTGGAAGGAACCAGCCTCACCTGCCAGGACCCTAATGACGGTACGATTTGGGAAATATTTCCTCCTTATTTATATATCAAGTTCATGAAATATACAGACGATGAGTTAATAGAGATAAACTGTCACATCGACTTTGTATTCCGTCTCTTTCTCTTTAGTTCTGTTCTTCGCCACCGCAATGAGAGTAGTAAGTCTTTTTTTTATGACTTGTGTTGGATGAATGTTTGTCACAAAAGAGTTTCTGCACTGTGTCGATCCTTTTAAGAACTATTAAAAAGTCCGAGGTAAAAAAGTTTAGAGGCCTTCTTTTGGCCATTAAAAAGTCGGTCTTGCTGTTTTTAAATATTCTGATCCTCTCTTGTTTATCCCACATCGAACATGACCTGCTTCTCTCCACCTCTTTGTGTCTTAACAGTGTGTGGATACTAAAGAGCTCGAGCTCGGCTATAAAGTCCACAGTCTGACAGAATTTGGGGAGAACTATAAGCTGCAGGGAGTACCCTACCAGCGGAGTACGTACTAGTAAGTACGACAGAAACCTCAGAGTTGTTGTCATTATAAAATATCCTTTAATGAAGTAACTACCTGAAACCCTATAGTGTAGCACAATGCTGCCCTCTTAACGTCATACCGCTTTATACCGTGGTCAGTGAGAATTCTACGGCTAACTGGCGTGCATTATTTTCGTGTATACGCACACGTAGTTCGGTGGGTTAAATCACTATTAGATCACGCTGCTCTG